TTTGATCAGTCATCTGGTAATTCACATGGACAAGATTTCTTCTTTCTCAGAAGGTAAGATGCTTCAAGGGCTTTTGGAGAAAGAGGAACTAGGGGATTTAGCACTGTTGTTCTCTGAGAGCCACCCTCCAGGACTCGAATTAGTTCTCACTACTCTGCCTCCCTTTGCTTGCCCGGTAAGGACCCACTATTCACTTCATGGACTCCTCTAACACAGCATTTGTTAACATGACAGCTCAAAACCCTGTCACCTGAAAGACCGAATACTCCGACCAGAAGCATGCAGCCTACGCGCAAACCAACGTGAACAGTCCTGGACACCTGCTGTCTTTGACAAAACAACCTCAAGGTGCAGAGTACAGCGCTGAATCATGACTGAACCATTTTAAAAGTTACTAACTACTTCTTTAAGGTGCAACACCCATAAAAGAGATTCTTTTTGATACCAGTGAAGAAGAGAAAAATGAAGATTGCCTGATGTCCCATGTGAGACTAGACTGAAGAAGAGAAAAAGGCCTCCCACCTTTCTTCCATCATTCCCTTCCACTATATCCAGAAGGCCACCACACACAGCCGGGGCTGAAACCCTCACCTCTGACTCAGGAACATCCAGCAGTCACCAACTTCTGAGTTGCTTCAGTTCATCTAGAGAGTCATTAAAATAGTTCCCTCAAAACAAACATGCGACATGTCACTCGACACCCTCCAAAGCCAGGTTGGCTCAGTTTTTCCTCACCTATGACTCAACTGCCAAACTTACCACTTCTCTTGACAAAATACCGCTGTGCACTCTGACCGTATCCACAGACAACAAGGCAGCGGTTGATCCCGACTGGTGCTGAGCAAAGCTGGCATCGAAAGGTGTGTGGCAGAAGAACTGGTACAGCTCCGTGTCCATTAATTGATTTCTTAACACAGAACTATTTTAAAGCAAGTGTGAGAGGCTGGAACAAGTAAATATCTGGTAAGTGAAGACTGACGGGTGGCAACAAACTAGAGGAACTTCTGTAGTTAGTTACGAGAGAATTCTGGGTTCTTCCAAGGATATTCTGGGTCAACAACTAAGTTAAAAAATCAAGAAAAAACCCCAAACAATAGCCAAAAGGCACTGAAGTTCCTCAGTCGGAAGGAAAACAAGATGTAGACATGTAGTTGAAGTGTCAAAATCATCAGATCAATGCTGGGCTGAAACACATGAAAGAGGTGTGAATGAGAATAACAAGAAATCTAAAAGCAACTTGTGTTGCTACAGATGAAGGATCCGAGTTCTTCCTCTTTTCTCAACAGAAGAGTGAAAAAATACTTTGAAACCTGGCTCGAACTGCCCATTCCCCTCACTGCTGACTCAAGGGCATCACACATCGATCTATAACATAAAAAACAGGCTAACAGCTCCCACAAAGAAAACAGTAACTGGATTTAGTTCTCAGGAGAGAGGAAGAAGAAAAAAAATTTAAAGAAAAAGAAAAAAAAAACAAAAAAAAATCTAAGGAAGAAGGAAGGAGTGTGGATATTCATTTCTCACTTAGGCTAAAACAAACCAGTTTGTCTTTATTTGTCCATAATATTACAACTCCCAACAGACACAGCTTTGCTCTGTTGTTCTGCAATTTAACTGAAAGTGTCCGATCTCAAAGAGAATTTTGTGGAGGTTGTCAGAGAAGAAAACTGGAATGCATCACCGACAGGATGCATATGCTGTCACATTTCATGTAGTTTCCTGTATCTTAGGGAAAACCGTCTTCATAGACAACTGATGCATGAATGATCTTTTGGATTTCATTACAGCATTTTAACCTAAATAGATTTTAAAGTCTAGACAGCACTTTATGTTCTTCCTTGCATTTTCTCCTTCAAATCTTCCTTCCTGTTCTGTTTTAACTTGCAATCTTCTTCAGAGAATTTGCCCTCCATAAGGGCGAACAATATAACTCAAAAAAATGCTATTTTAATGAAAAAATACAGCAAACAGAATAATCTTAAGAGTACATGAAAATCAAAAGTATACAAATCCATGACAATACATGAGGAAAAAGAAACCTTAAACTTTGGGTAAGAGTACTTGTTCCTTTTGTAACTGTGATATTATGGGTGTACCACATGACTCATAGCAGGATAATAATCACCTAAGGATCAAGACTGTAAATCACTGAATTTACACCACCGAGTTTTTACAAGATAGCCTGGCAACTCCCCCATGATGTACAAATATCTTTAAAATAGGACATTCATCTGTATTGCCTAAGGTCTATTCCCATGCAATACAAATGCTCAAACCTCAGCGGTAACGAACAGAATGACCTCTAATCAACAGAATTTGTTCTGCTCTTGGGATGCTACATCAATCAGTTCCCAAGGAGTTGCCAAAGTCTCACTAAGTGCTTGAAAGCTCTGTCTAGATGGGAGTAACAGAACTAAATTCAGGGTGTTTTTGGATACCAGTGTCCAAACCCAAATACTATGTAACACGTAATGTTCACCCCAAAAGTGGTGGTTTTATTACTGACTTGTATAAAATGTACTCCCAGACTCTACTGTTATTTTACACAAAATGTAAAATATCTCCCCACCTTCCCAGATATCATCAAATATTATGGATATGGTCTGTTCTCCAAACCAGTTCACAGCATGTCCACACAGACACCCCTATCACTACAATGGAAGGATGGGAGGGAAGAAATGCCACCAAACCAAGGTCCCTGGCAAACGCTGGATCTCAATCACGGTGTGCAGGAGGTGTCACTCCCCCTCGACTGCACACAGAAGAATCCCAGAGAGATTGGTTTCCCTGGGTTCTCCTTAGCCACTGAAATACCAGTTACACCACAACAATGAAAATGGCAGACCACTAAGAGACTTCAACCATGGCAACAACAAGCCCAAGAAATAGTTTGTGAATCTTTTGCTGGTCTCTGTGGATACATCTTAATTAGCCGGTCATCTGCAGCGGACCTGCTGTAGTTACTTTATTGTCCCTAGTTATCACAGAACGGTTTGTGTTGGAAAGGACCTTAGAGATCATCTGGTTCCAACCCCCCTGCCATGGGCAGGGACACCTCCCACTAGCCCAGGTTGCTCAAAGCCTCATCCAGCCTGGCCTTGAACCCCTCCAGGGATGGGGCATCCACAGCTTCTCTGGGCAACCTGGGCCACTGCCTCACCACCCCCAAAGGAAAAAAATTCTTCCTAATATCTAACCTGAATCTGCCCTCTTTCAGCTTAAAACCGTTAACGCTTGATCAGGGAGTGTAGCAGTAGGACAAGAGTCCCTCCCCATCTCTCCTGTAGCCCCCTTTCAGCACTGGAAGCTGCTCTGAGGTCTCCCCAGAGCCTTCTCTTCTCCAGGCTGAACAACCCCAACTCTCTCAGCCTGTCCTCATAGGGGAGGTGCTCCAGCCTCTGACAATGTTCATGGCCCTCCTCTGGACTCATTCCAACAGGTTATACTTGACAATATTGCAAGAAATTCTTCTGCTGGCCTTGCATGTCTATACCTGGTTGTGCTGACAAGGTGACAGATTCCTACCCTCCAAACACATCATTCATCTTTAAAAACCATTGCACAATTTCCCCCCTTTCACAAAGGAAAGGATTGGATTTTTAACATGTGAGGGTTAATACAGTACAATGGCTTGAAAATCTGATTATTGCTAGGTGCTCTCCGCAACACGAATGGTCAGAACACACAAGGAAAAATTTCCCCATCTTTATGTCTCTGGATGGATAGAAATGAATACAGAAATATATTCAAGATACATAGACAGAAAACAATTCCAGGAACAACTGAAGTTGCAGCAGCCTTTCCAGAATAAGGGAAGAGCTTAAAAGGAAAGGCCATATATACATATTACAAAATATTTTAAGGAAGCTATGCTGAAGACATTTAACTTAATTACTTAATTCTTCTAGAATGAAGAGACAACATTACTTTCAGGATAAAAGGCAAATCATGTACAAATACCATAGAACTCATGGTACTTCAAACATGATATTTATCATTCAGACAATACCCATGTAAAATATGCATTTTTATCCATTACTAAGAAACTGACAAATCTATTCAGACACTTTAGAAAAATAATGAGAAAAAAAGTGAATATGTAAGTAAATTTATTTGAAAATGGAAGTACTTAAAGCAATGATTTTTACCCTCTTTTGTTTTCTCACAAAAAGATTACTGAAAACTGAATTTCAAACAATGCCTTGTAATTTCTAAAATATGCTGTTCTGGAAAGTGATCAAGGTTTCTAGTTACATTCCTACCCTTTGAAATCAATATAATTGATTATCTTTTGATTTTTCATATGCATAAGCTTTGTGTACTTTTGAATTCTGAATGGCCTGTTTTTTTTTTTAATAAGTTTTCCCATATATGTAAAATACAGTTGCCTTCATGTCAAGAAGCTCTGCTACCCCAATGAAAACACACTGCATTGGTAGCCTTCATAGAACAGACTTCGCAGAGCTCCCCCCCACCCTTTCCAACAGGGCAAGGAAAAAATTCCTCTCTGATTTACCCAGGAAAAAACTGAGTTACGACTTCCTATGAAATCAGAACAGGAATATTTTCTTTTACGTCTGTGTTTACACTAATTGTAGACTAACCTGAATTCTTTGGGTGGCGAATAAAAAGAGGAAAAGCGTTAGAAGTAGTATTTCCCATAGAAACAATTGCCTGTCAAACAAAGCATAAAAAGACAAAAGGCATTTTTTTTCAGCTTGAATGCCTTAATGTCACCATTTGTCATGCAGCACTTCCTCGGAAAACCCCCAAGTACAGTTAACTCTCCTCTTTTACACCGCAGGTTGGTGGAGGATTGCGATGTGCGGGGCCTGACAATGAAACAGCAGAGCCACGGCACATTGTTATGCAACTCACTGTCTGCAAGGGTGGCTCGTAGCTCCTTCTTTATTCAGCAAGTGCCAAGTGCATGTTTAATCAATGTCACAGCTCACCACAGTGTGCAA